CAAACCCCCCAACCCCTTTTTTTAAAAACCTCTAACCTGCACGTATCGGGACGCGTCGATCTTTGATGTAAGAATTATATTATGTCGCAATCAATTTAGAACTAAAATGATAAACTTTTGACAAAATATAAAAGAATAGATAATTAGAATCGATAGATGTACAAATACATGTCGATATATATGCGAGGGGCATACCAAAGTTATTTTTACCTTACCATGAAGAAGTAAAAGTAGAAAGCTGAAATTTGGGGTAACAGCCAACAATCATCTTTCTAGATTACACGTAAATTTTTGGGAAATTTCGATTACTGGTTTTTAATACCAGCGCACTATAAGTGTAAGTGTAAGTGAATGGGGGTATGTTGTTCTCCAGTTTCAACATAAAAATGGAGAAAATTTAGGACAAGGCAGTAATAAAGTTTTTGTTTTTGCAAGGCAAGCAACTACAGGATAATTTTACGGAGATGCATGCCGTATATAGAACTGATTGCCCATCCTGTGCTGTGATAAAAATTTGGTGTAAAAATTTCAATGCGGATTCATGGAAATTGAAGATGATTACCGTGATGGCCGCCCAGGGACAGCAACAACAGAGGAGAATATTTTGAAAATCAAGAAACGTGTCACGTAGTCTGGTAGTCGGGAGACAGTTGAACGTTTGAGCAAAGAAACTATCACGTAGTCTGGTAGGCGGGAGACAGTTGAACGTTTGAGCAAAGAAACTAGGCTTGCCATTGGATTAGTTGAAGGAATCTTAAATGAACATTTGAATATGGCCAAGGTTTTTACGAGATGGGTCCAACGTTTGTCGACATCTCCTCAAAAAGTGCAATGTGTGGATTGTTGTGAAAAATTGCTTGGTCTGTATGAAAAGGATGAAACTAATCTTTTTGAAAGACTTGAGACCATGGATGGGACATGGGTCCTCCACTGCGATCCTGAACCAAAATCTGCTTCAATGCAGTGGAAATCGACTTGTCTCCAACACCAAAGAAGGCCAAAGTGCATCCATTAAGTGGTAAAGTGATGCTATCAGTTTTTTTGGACCAAGAAGGAGTGCTTATGACAGACTATCTTGAGAATGGACATACGATCACCGGAGACCATAATTCTAACCAGCTTTTTA